CGAGCCGGTCCTCGAGGCCAAGGACCGGCTCGAGGAACACATCACTGATTGATTGATAGATAGATAGATAGATAGATAGATAGATAGATAGATAGATAGATAGACAGACAGACAGACAGACAGACATAATTCGCCCTAGTGGAAATTTGTTTTAATAGCTTCATAAAGTGCATTCCTAACTGTGTGGAGAGAGAGCCATACCTATCACTGATCCACTATGTCCCATTGCACCACCCGTAGTACAAACGGTGGGAGGTGCGGAAATGAGAAGTGAAGTTGACCAGAAACATCATGGAGGGATTATTTCTGCACGTACCTCAACCAATATGAGGTTCATGCCTGTAGACCTTGCATCTCCCACCATCTTTAGGCAGTTGTACTTGTTGGCCCTTAGAAGAAATTCTTGGAATTGGGCTGACTGCGAGGTACTGGATAAACTGTTTGTTGTCCTGTCTAACACATAATAGACACAGACAAACAGAGAAATCAGCATTGAGAGAAAGCAGGTGGAATTTGGATTTAACTGACATAAAAATGTCAAAAGAAACTGTATTTTTCCAAATAAAAATTTAGCCTGGCAGCATTTGTTTCCAATTAATCATGGATGTCCAAGTACCAATACCACATATTGATATGGGACCAATACCAGCCTTATTTCAATGTGTCAAGACCCCTCGAGGCTGCAGACACCAGCCACTAATACTTAAAGTGTCCTCTGGTGGCCATACTATGAACATGAAGTGAATGCAATGTTGAGAGAACATTTATCTATGAATTATATTCTTACAGATGCTCTCATATATCCCATTAAGATGCCATTTTGATAATTGATGTCGAGAGCTCATTATTCATATTTTGCTGGGAAAATGAATACATTTATTTCCTAATTCAATTCCAGCATAGGTGACAAAGTATTTTAAAGTGAATTCCATCCTGATCCATCCTCTCATATGACCATTAATATACTATATTTATTCAATAAGCATTTCAGAGCTGCGAACCTATGGAAATTCCCTTGCATTGATAGACAAACAGACAGATAGCTACATAGCCAGACAGATAGATATTTGTTGACGAATGACGGTAAAATGATGGATGAAGCACAATACTGTATTGGATATTCACAAATTCATAGTTCACAGCCTGTTCATTGTAGATTAATGCTGCGGCTTTTTTGTATGTCTCGGGGTGTTACAGGTCCCTGCCAGTTTTTGAAGGCCTCGGTCAAAATTACTGAAAATTGTATTTTTTTTTATTTTTCCACTATAGGTGGTGCTGCAGAGCCATTTTGTTTTCTCGTTCTTTGGAATAGCGCAATTTTCACAATGGCCAATAAGTGTACAACGGTTGGTGAGTTTTTGTGCATGTTTCGGTACCCAAAAATGTGATTCCTTTTTGTGAAATAAATAATAACTATTATTAGCACCATCAATGACAACAACTGGCTAACTAGAGGACCCAATAAACCCAAAGCCTCCTAGCTTGTGTCCATCAATCATTGGCAATTTGCAATTTGAAGGAAAGTCTCAAACGCTTCACAACCTGCCCAACTCTACGAATAATTGTGTGATGACACGTAGCAGAATGATCTTGTCATTCATCTAAACCAAACTTGACTTCCATGATTTTGTTGAAATACTGGCCATTGTTGGCATTCTTCGCTGACTCTTCATTTATCCTAAGGCTTCTTCTCTGTGTGTTTGTTTGTTTGTTTGTTTGTTTGTTTGATTTTTTCCAAGATGGCACCCGAGTAGGCAGCCGTCGGCAAGTGTTCTTCAAGAGCTTTGCTTTTTTTTGTTGTTTTTTGTTGTTTTTGTCTTTTGTTTTGTCACATGGTGTTTGTTGTTTCATCGTGTGGACCTGATGTGGACTGTTAACAGTGTTTTTTCGCCCCGACATACATCAAAGGAGAAGAATCTGTGCTTGGTGGTTGGACCTTCTCGGCAGCACGCCTGCACATAATTTGATTGGGAAGAATGTCGGTCGGCGCCATTTGACTGTCGGTGCTGGACAGCCCCGGGGCGCTTGTGTTTTTTGCGCATGTAAGGGGCAGTATTTTTCACAGCCCCGTTTTGTTCAGTGGAGAGGTCGGCGCTGTTGGACAGTCTGCGTTGGTGCGGCTAGATGGATGGGCGCTGAAACTGAGGATGAGGAGAGAGGAGCGTCGGTGCGGAGCGCAGATGTGCATTTGGAACTGAGAGTCGCCGCTTGGAATTCAAATGGATTTACATGGGACAGGAGAAGTGAACCAATCTCTTTTTTTCGTCAATGGATGCTACAGCTTCTTGTTGACTTCGAAATTTAGCTTGTAGTACATTTTGTGCATGACATCTCTGATCCACTGGTGAAAGGACACTTTGATTCTCTCCTCTTTCATCTCAAACTGCTTTAAACAACAAAGCGTATGAGGGAAAAGTGATTAGGATTGCACGACTGTCCGTGTTTTCATGTTCATGTTCATGCCAACTTTATTGTCAAATGTGCGACATGTGCAACATACAGCACAGATGAAATTTCTTTCCTCAGGAGACAGAGGAGTTCACATAGAACAGTTCACATAAAATGACAAATAATACAACACAAGTTACAGACAGTCGTGCAATCTTCACCACTTTTCTGCATACACTTTGTTGTTTGAAGCAGTTTTATGTTATGTGTTGTGTTTATTATTTTACTTTAAGTTAACTGTTTTGTTAAGCGCTTTGTTACAGCTGCAGCTGTTGTGAAAGCGCTATATAAATCAGGATGTATTGTATTGTATTGTATTGTATTGTTTTGTTTTTGGCAACTTCCAGTGGCTGCTCTACAGCATCAATTTACTGGCATGCACGTTCCAGCCTTTCAGCGTCTTCTTGTGGACACACACATTTCTTGAAGTGTTTCCATGTTCACAAGATTTTTTTTTTTAGCAATAAAGTGGCTCCGTTTCCGTGTAGACATGGCCTGAATGTGATTGGTTCATTTTGAACACAACCACATCCCCAGTTACGAGTTCATGACTAAATGTGTGCTTACTTGTTCAAACACTCCATTATTTTTACTTCTCCTTTCGAAAATATAATACCGTATTTTCCGCACTAAAAGGCGCACCTAAAAGTCTTCTATTTTCTTAAAAGCTCACAGCGCGCCTTAAAATCTGTTGCGCGTTGTATGGTCATTACGGTAATATGTCGACCCCAAAATGGCTCCTTGCTGGAGACATGCAATAGAACACGGAAATAGAATAGCGGAAAGAGAGTTCAACGTTAACGGGTCAATGTTATAACTTGCTGTTAGTTCAGTGAACTGTGTCGCTGCTATACGTTTTTGTGCAGCTCCAAAAAAGTGGTGTTGGTTTTTTAAAACGCACACTTTATTTATGGTTTTCACAGTCTCAACAAATACAGGTACGTCTTTGTCCGTCTCTGTGCCTTCTCTTCTTCTGTTCGACTCGAGAGGCGTTCATGACCGGCTCCGAAAAACGTAAATTAACGATTCCTTCACTGAAACTACGAAAATTGAAAATAATGCATCAAAACAGAAAATCATGAGAGGAAATCACAAAATAAATTCTATAGCCCCGCTACAGAATTTATTTTGTGATTTCCTTGTTTGTGAATACACTACACAACAAAGGAATAAATAACAAACACTTCTGAGACAGTCCAGTCTCCTACACTTTCCTGACATCTGATCCTTCTGTTTGCATTACCTTGACTGTAGCTCCGTCTAGTGGATATTGTAGATTGCGATTTATAACCCGGTGCGTCCAATATATTAAAAAAATAAATAAATAAATAAACCATTTATTGAAGGTGCGCCTCATGATCCAGTGCACCTTTTCGTGCGGAAAATATGGTATTTTATTTTAATTGAGATGTCCAGGAAATGTTTCACATTATTGATGGATTTTTTTTTTTAAGTTATTCATAAAATAAGATAAGATATTCTTGATTTGTCGCACACTGGGGAAATTTACAATACACAGCAGCAAAATTGGGGGGTAGAAGAAGAAAAACAAAAGTGTTCGCATGCACAAAAATAAATGTTTCAGAGAGAGCTATACACAGTTCAATTAAGTGCAATCTATACGGTTTAAAGATATAGATAAGGTGGCTGCGCTATTTACAATTGTTACTGTTTTTTCACGTATTCATCTTGGTTTTCATTTTTATATCAGAAAATCCTGGCACTTGTACAAAAGCATGTCCACTTTTGATACCCACAGAATCTTAAAATGAAATTGAGAATAGCAGTGACAGAGAACTTGTCTAGGTTATACACCATTATCCTCACCTTGCTGACTGTTGGTGTACGAGTCCAGTTTCGGTGGGTTGGTCCACTCTTGAATTCTTAGGCCCAGTTCCAGAGACAAAACCTGGATTGTAGCAGTCTTTCCACACCCCGATGGTCCTGTTAGCAGCAATAGCCCACCCTGTGAGGAAGAGCAGTCGATGTGTGACAATGTCTACACGTACATTGGTACTTTGTGTACACACACACACACACGCACACACGCACGCACGCACGCGCACACAGTAGTGTCAAAAAGTGTTTGGCCCCTTCCTGATTTCTTGTTTTTTTGCATGTTTGTCAGACTTAATTGTTTAAGTCAAACAATTCAGTGGTTCTCAGTTAAACTGCTTGATCCTCACTAGGGTCGCGGGGGTGCCGGAGCCTATCCCAGCTGTCTTCGGGCAGTAGGCGGGGGACACCCTGAATCGGTTGCCAGCCAATTGCAGGGCACACAGAGACGAACAACCATCCACGCTCACATTCACACCTAGGGACAATTTAGAGTGTTCAATCAGCCTGCCATGCATGTCTTTGGAATGTGGGAGGAAACCGGAGCACCCGGAGAAAACCCACGCAGACCCGGGAAAAACATGCAAACTCCACACAGGGAGGCCGGAGCTGGAATTGAACCCGGTACCTCTGCACTGTGAAGTCGACGCGCTAACCACTGGACTACCGGGCCGCCATGTTTAAGATAATCAAACAAATTTAAATATTAGTCAAAGATAACAAGTACATAAACACAAAATGCAGTTTTTAAAATAAAGTCTTTATGATTAAAGGGAAAACAAAATCCATACCTGAGCCATTGCCCAGACTTGAATCCGATCAAACATTTCTGGCAAGATCTGAAAACGGCTGTGCGCCAACGGTCCCCATCAAACCTGATCAGAGGTGCTGCAAAGCTGAATGGGTGAAACTGGCCAAAGATACTGTCTGCGTGCCAAGCTTGTTGTATCATATCATATTAAAAAAAAAAAAAAAAAAAAAAAAAAAAACCTCGGGGCTGTAATTACAGCCAAAAGGTGCATCAACAAAGGCTGAGAAGAGCAATTGCTGTGAATACTTATTGTATTGACATGTGATATTTATTTTTCATTAATTTGAACAATTTAAAAAAATATATACTTTTTATGTCGTATTTATGGGAGATGCACTGTATATTCATATGCATACATTCATATAAGCTACATATACAGTACTATACAAATGTACATATAGAACAGTGCTTCTCAATTGTTTTCTGTTTCGCCCCCTCAACAAGAAGAAAACAATTCGCACCACCCCACTCTCTGCTGCCACGATAATCATTATTTGTCTATAACATGGTTAAACGTCCACTTCTGCAGTACTGTATATAGTGTCTTTGTTAAATTAAAGAAAGAAAAAAGAGAAATATAGTTCAACTCACAGCAAAGAATAAGTTAACATTGTTTTTTAGTCTGTAACAGGAAAGATTTTAAATGGATCAATTTGCCTGAAATTTAAAAAAAAATCCTTGTTAAAACATTTTTGACCAGCTTATTGCACCATTTGATCCATTTCACCATTCTGAAATTAAATAAATCAATAAATAATAATCAATTAAAATTCAAAGCAACATTAACCCAGGAACAGAATATAAAAAACACTTTAGTCCACAAAACAAAAATGAATAAAACAATTTGTGCTGATTTTTTTCACCTTTTTTTAATCAAAATGAGGAAGTAAGGATTTATGGCTACGATGAGCACGTTTTGCAATGGGCAACTTTTCCAGCGGCTTATCTGCGTGATTAAGATGTAATATCTTCAAGTGGTGCCTTGATTTATTTGGCTTCGTGCTGTCCGCTGCCAGCATTTTTAGACAGTTAACACACCGGTCTTTCCTCGTCTCCCACTGTAGTCACAGTGAAGCCAAGTGCTGCATATGGTTCGTCATATTTCATTGTCTTAGCTTTCGTGTGACTTAGTTTTGTCTCATTATCTGATATAGAGCAAGGGTCCTGTATGAAACAAGGCTCCTTCCTCACTCTATAACTTGAAAATGAGAACTTTAAACTATACCTGTGATCCGTCTGTATGGACTTTCAGCCAATTCTCCACTTCTTCTACCTTCTTCTTGTGAACAGCTAAATCAACCTACATAAAAAAAAAAAAAAAAACCAAACAAAAAAAAACATCGTAAACATTAAAAAGCTAACAGCTGCTTTCGTTGCAGATCATGTCTACTCCGTAAAATAATTCTCAGATTGACAAACTTTGGCTTTTCTTTTAATATTATTAATAATAATTATTATAGGGTGGCACGGTAGAAGGATGGTTGCAACGTCCGCTTCACTGTGCAAAGGTTGTGGTTTTGAATCCTGTCCTTGTTTTCCTGTGTGAAATGTGTATGTTCTCCTCGTGCCAGCGTGGGTTTTTTCCAGGTACTCCAGTTTCCGTACAGCTTGGATCGGCTCCTGCATGCCCACGACCCTCGTGAGGATAAGCGGTTCAGATAATGGATGGATGGGTATCAGCTATCTCATATGGTCAGCTGAATTACCTTCATTAGCATTCAACAATAAAAATAGTTCAATGGCTCTACTTCATGACTCTGGGTGTTTACTGAAGTTGGCCCAATTGGGCTAGTAAAAATTTTACAAACGCATGGCACATATAGGCAAACAATCATTCACACTTAGAATCACCCCTAGGGACAATATATAGTGTCCAATTAACCCAGTCCTTCTCAAATAGTGGGGCGCGCGCCCCCCCGGGAGGCTCCGTCAAGGCGGGCGCGTTTGACCTCGGGGGACATGCTTTTTTATTTTTTTTAACTGTCCGAAAATAACGTGCAGTTGCACCTCCATTACGTTAGGGGGCAGTGGCGCTCTCATTGGCAGAGTTTGCGCAGGGAGCATTCTCAGGGAGGAAATATGACGAGGCGTAGGTAGCGCTAGGCTTCAATGTGACTGTGGTGGCAAACGAGGAAAGATCGATGTGCTTACTGTGTCTAAAATTTTGGTAGCGGACAGCATGAAGCCAAATAAATTAAGGCGTCACTTAAAGACATTACACCCCAATCACGCTGATAAGCTGCTTGAGTTTTTTTTCAGCGAAGACGTGCCGAATATTGCCAACAATCATGCCGCTTTGTGACTGCTACTTCAGTAAACTAAAATACAGGTCCCGGCTACACATTGAGCCGGAGCCGCGAGGTGCTTGGTACTGGTT